CTTGTGGATGCACTGGACAACTGAATACCTTTGGAAGTAGAGGATAGCATCAGAGCAGTCTTACTTTTGTTCTCCAAAGATGCCTCTATGTAGCCTTCAGCAACCGTGCTCGATTTCCACCCTCCCAGTCTTTTGAGTTGCAATAGATCGGCCCCGTTGTCAACCAATAAGGTTGCGGAAGTACGACGAAAAGCATGCCCTGTAAAAGTTTCAATTTTTGGAAGCTTCAAAAAAGCAGCTATTTTATGTGGAAATTTTGAGATTGAATGATAGCCAATTGCTTGGTTATGTAATTTCCCATTTCGCCATTGAACAAATAACCTGTCATTTTTCAAATTTTTCCGCAAAGTGAGGTATTTGTGGAAAATAGCAACCCAATCTGGATCGCTTATGATAAACGATCGACTTGTGTAAGTTTTTGTGTGTGGAATTTCTATAGCGATCTTTCCTTCCAAAACGTTGACGTGCTCCATTTTCATCTTGACTAGTTCATCGCTCCTACATGCACCCGACACACCAACAATTAGCGCTACCTGAAACCAGATAAAAATAAAATGGGTAACCTAGCTATAGCATACAGAAAATCATTTTGATTTTCGCATTTTTATCTTCTTTGTATATTTTTTGAAAACCTACCTTGATGCTAATGAATTCTTCAGCTGCCTTCGTGAGGAACTCGTTAATGTTTTCTCTGGAAAAAACGCTCGACTTTTTCGGCTGAAAGCCCAGATTTTGCCGCTTCAAAAAAGCTATAAGTTTTGCGTAATTGGAGATATCAACTTTCTCTTTCAATTTAATCATGGTTTTCAACATACTGTAAGTCGACCATAAAGTCGAAGGCTTCTTTTCCTTAGATAATTCGCCAAAATACGCCAACAAAACGGTCTCCGAGGCAGTATTTCTCGTTCCTTTCTGGCTACACCATGCTTCGAATATTTGAAAAGCCTTTTCGTACCGAAATTTGCTTTTTGCTGGAAGCAAACTCTCTCCAATCCTGTCTGCTGCTTCTTTTAATTCAGGTGGGGTACAATCCATCGCTTCATCTTCACTTTCCGAAATCATTTCTTTGGGGAGAACGGGGAGAAATCTAGTGAAAATCTATTATTTCCGCAAAAATACTGAGCGAAAACTACCGTCGTTAAGGCGTTGTTGATCTTATCTATGGTTGTTGATTTTGCGGTTTCCTGTGGTTTCGTCTTTTGTTTTGGCCTTTACAGGGCCTTTGAGATCGTCAAAATTGATGACATTGACAAAAAAAGTGAAATATTTTTTTCTAAGGCCAGTTTTACACTATATGAAAATTTCGTATAACAGAATCTTTAGTTTTTGCATCAGAAAATTAAGGGTTGAAAATAAAAAAGTATACAAACCTCGACGGAAAACTTCATTTCTGTCTCGAGGTTGAGTTTATCTCGACGCTTCGCGTCTCGATAAACTATAATAACCTCTCGACCAGCAATGAAGTATTTTCCGTCTCGGATTGTAATATACTATTTTTCTACAAACGTGTTAAAAATGCAATTTTTAACACCCCCCGTAGCATTACCTAAATATGTTACTTTATCGCACGAGTGCCATAAAGTCTTTATAGCACTAGTGTTAAAAATGAAACATCAAATTTTGAGAGCGAACATCAAAAAAAGTTTGTATTTTTAGTTATTTACATTGATATTAATGGTGAAATTGGAACAACTGAGATAGCCCAATTGTCCGCCTCATCTATATTTTTCAAGGGATCGATGTAACCCTCTTTTTCTTCTGTATTTTGTTACATTTTTAGTAAAAAGCATTGCTGACTACGACAGTCTTTCAAGAAACTGACAAGACATTTCATTACCTGTAAAACAAGGTGCTGGTTGTTTGGATTTTTTGACAAATGTTAAATTCAATAATTTTATGTAGGAAAGATACTTCCAATTTATTATTCATTTAAAAATCCAATTTGTTACTGGTTATTGATTTTTATTGCCGTTTGTAGAAAAAATATTGTATGATATTTGTGTTTAAGGTATTTTTAAGGCACTTATACGAATTGCAGAATTCGCTTCGCTCATTCTGCAAACTTTCACATGCGTGCCTTAAAAATGTACTTTTAACACTTATATCATAAATAACTATTTTTTTCTCGAAAACGGTTAGGGATAAACCTATCGAACTTTATACAGTGTCCCCCATAATGTTCGCTACATGTGGGGATTGGGGATATTTTTTATTTGTAGGATATGCATTTTTTTCTTATGTGCGATCGATCCTGCATGTCCGATAACCTTACAGTACATTTTGACATTGGTCACGACGTGATCACTGTTGTGGCGGCAAATTCGAAAATTTAGATATGGAAACGCGAAAAAAATAAAAAATAGGAAATTACTTGTTTTTAGCAATGGATCTCTTATCAACTATTAGTATACATTTTTTATTATTGATATAGTCCAAGTACCTTAATATTTAATGTGTATTGGTAAAACAAACTTAAATTCTTCATTGGAATGATTCCTAGAGGATTAAATAAAAATATTCGACTAGCACATGAAACTTTTCTGTAGCAATACCCTGTATCTTGACAGTTTCTGAGATTTCCAATAACTTAATGTTGATACAACAATTGAAGAAATTCGTTATTGAGATTTTTAAATAAATATTATTTTCCAATACAGTTCTGAAACACCTTACTCAACTGTCCAGATACAGGGTATTGCTAGAGGAAAGTTCCAATGAAGCATTAAAGTTTCTTTTACCAATACACATTAAATATTGAAGTACTCGGACTATTTCAATAATAAAAACTGTATAATATTAGTTGATAAGAGATCCATGGCGAAAAACAAGTAATTTCCTGTTTTTTGTTTTTTTTCCTCCAAATTTCGCAGACAGCCCTAAAAGCTCGTTCTAATCGCTTTTTTCAAGTAACTTTTTCCGAAATTTTGCCATTTAACCCCACTTTTCGCGTTTCCATATCTAACTGTGGCAACATTGTAAGTGGTGCATGCTGAGTTTTTCCGCTGTGGTTATTTTGTAGTTTTTCTAAGTGTTAAAACTTAAATTAATTATAGGAAACAGTCTCATAAGTGTCTTGAACATATTTCAAAGTGTGGGAGTAGAAAAACATCGTGTTTTTCTTTGAAATTTAGTGTACAATCCGCTTTTCAAGGTTCATTAAGTGAACGTGTTGTGCCGCTGTTGCCAATATGCCAAAAGGTACAACGTGTAATATCTGCAAAAAGATTGTACAAGATGACCAGCAGGGCGTTTTTTGCGAATCCTGTGAAAGTTGGAAACACAGAGTCTGTGTGTCACTTTCGCAGAGGGCCTATTTTCAAATTAGCGAGTCTAAGGACCCCTGGATTTGTGATCCATGTAAGCAAGATAACAAGAGCAAAAAAACGTCTGCAGCAAAAGATTATTCTCTTGCTGATGTCATGGAAAAACTGTGTACTATGGAGAGCAAATATGATGTGCTTTTTAAGAAGTATGAGGAGCAAGAGGCGAAGAATGTTCAATTAGAAAAGGAACTGGTAACTATAAAACAACAACTTAATAAATGGGAGCAGCGAGAACTGGAAAAAAATGTAATTATTCAGGGAGTACCAACTCACGCTAATGAAAATCTAAATGAAGTTATAAAAAAATTTGCTAGAAAGCTAGATGTAAACTTGAATGGCACTTTTTCGGCTTTTCGCCTTGGCAACGATCCCAAGAAATCCTGTCCTATTAAAATCGAATTCCAGGATATTAAGGACAAAGAGTCGTTTGTAAAATCCAAAAAGAGGCTAAATCTACACACTCATGATTTAGGATTTACAGAAAACAATAGAGTATACGTGAACCATGATCTTACTAAACTCAACCTGCAGTTGTATATGGCCGCGAAAACGTTTAAGAAAGAACATAATTACAAGTATGTATGGCTGTCCCGTGGTAACGTCTTTATCAGAAAGGAGGATCAATCCAAAATCATCTTAGTGGAAAGTAAGGAACAATTGTCTGAATAGCAGTCGACAAAAAGTAAGTTAACCGTCCTATATATGAACATTCAAAGCCTTCGTAATAAGTTCGATGATGTACAATGCCTTCTAGTTCGAGAAAACTGTGATATTTTGGCTCTGTCAGAGACGTGGGTGAGTGACAATGAATCTTGTTTATATGAATTAGACAATTACAACTCAGTACATTGCTGTAGAGAAAAAAGGGGTGGGGGTGTTTCGTTTTTCATAAAGAAATCATTAAAATTCAGAATGATAGGTATATCTGAAAAAAGCTGTGAAGCAAGTTGGCTGTGTATCAAATTGGATGACTGCAATATTAAACTTAGTCTTATTTATAAGCCGCCATCATTTAATAATGGGGATTTTTTCTCTGATTTAGAGAATGTATTAGTAAAGCATTCAAAAAGACATGTCTTAATTGGCGACATAAATATTAATTTATTAGAAAATTCAAACCTAGTTACAAATTATAAAAGATTGTTAACTTTAAATAATTTTAAAATAGTCAATCACATATCAGAGGAAAATGCTACACGAGTCACCCCAAACCATAAAAGCTTAATTGATCATGTTATTTCCGATTATAACTCAAATTTAATAAATCTAATTGATGTACAGTATAACAGTTTATCAGTCGACTCATGCAACGAAGACTATAGTAACTCATTTTTGGGGGTTTTCCAGTTACCATTATGCAGCGTATATATTTACCAAAAGCTTTGACCTGGAAAAGTATAGTATGTCTAAACGAAAAGATTAGGCAACCAGAAATACTACCATAAAATATAGTAAGTCATTTTTGGCCGTAGAATACTACGAATACTATAGTATCCCGGGATACTTTACTTCACCAATTTCTCAATTTCCTCGAAAATTATAGCATGTCGAGTTGCTATAGTAATCCATGTAAATTACCGGAAGCTTCCACTTACAATAGTTTTATAACCGATTTTAAGGTTAAGTTGTCAGTGTTGTGTACATTTATTTCGTTTTAAAAATGTAATAATTATTATCATGAGTGCGAGGACAAAAAAAATATTGGAACTGTTGAAATCATCTGAGCAAATTGTCGAGAATTCTGGACAAAATGAGTTAGAATGTAACAACATACAGAGACCAGGTAGACTACATTATTATTTTATTGTTTACAGAAAATAGGCTTTATTTTAAATTATTTACTTACTTTTAGAAAGTCCTGGGTACTTGGAACCCCAGAGCTCACCCCAAGATAATCCTGGACCATCAGGTGATTTTAACTATAGTAATAATATCTTGCAGAAGCCTGGTAAGTAAGTCTTCCAGACATGAATGTTACAAACAAAATAAATTTAGTCCTTATACTAAACAAAACAACATTTTTTCAGATGCTGAAGATGCTGATTTGCAGAGAGATTACACATTTGAAGAAGATTCTGATGATTCAATTGTGGATCCCAACTATGTGGCAGAATCTGATGTACTGTCAGAGTCAGACGAAGATGAACTACCATTATCTAACATCAAAAAAAAAATGTCACAGCAAAAGCTTTCAATTCAAGCGAGAATTCAACAAACCCCTGCTGAAACAACTACCAGAAGAAAACGGAAAATGCAACCAAAAGAAAAACAATGTAGGAAACGAGTACGAAACGAAAGTGAATGGATTGACGTTAAAGCTAAAAAGGAATTAAATTCAGGACGAGAACACAGAAATAGAAAAGGGAAATTAATACCTGCACGGAAAATGAAGAATCCTTGCCCAGAGAGTTGTAGATCTAAATGCACTACAAGGGTAACTGAAGAAAAGAGAATGGAAATATTTGATTTATTTTGGAAAATAGCTAATCACACCAAGCAATGGGAATACATAGCAAAATTGGTGACTTTGGAAGATAAAAAAGTGACTAAAAGGGGTATATCAAGAAGAAATTTTAGCAGAAAATATAACTTTTTTATTGCGGGAAAAAAGGTGCAGGTATGTAAAAAAATGTTTTTAAATACGCACGGAATTTCGGAACAGTGGGTAACAACAGCACTAAGTAGAATAGAAGAGACTAGTATGGTAAAAGAAGACACTAGAGGAAAGCATGAAAACAGACCACAAAAGTTAAACGAAAACTTACGGGATAGTGTAAGAGACCACGTAAACATGTTCCCAGTGGTACCATCACACTATATACGGAAAAATTCAAATAAAATGTATTTGGAAGACGGACTTAATATTTGCAAAATGCATAGAATGTATTTAACTTATATGCAAGAAGAACATTCCGGGCAACAAGTGGCAACTATGCGACAATACCGAGAAATATTTAACACCGAATTCAACATTGGATTTTTCAAGCCCAAGAAAGATCAATGTGATCGCTGTGTGGTGTATGCCATGGCTAGTGATAACGAGAAGAAGGAGTTGGAAAGTGAATATCAACAACATATTCAAAATAAGGAAGAAGTCCGAAATCTAAAAGATAATGACAAACTACAAGCCGTAGAAGATAAAACCATTTGTGTTGCTTGCTTTGATTTACAAAAAGTTCTCATCGCCCCTGCATGTGAAATAAGTAGTTTTTACTACAAAAGCAAATTAGCCACGTACAATTTCACCATCTATGATCTGGGAAATAACAAAGGTCATTGTTATGTTTGGAACGAATCCATAGCAAGAAGAGGACCGAATGAAATATCAAGTTGTTTGCTTAATTTTATAAAAAAGCAAACTGGAAATGGGGTAAAAAAAATTGTATTTTATTCGGACAACTGTGGAGGTCAGAACAGGAACAGATTTGTCTTCAGTATGTTCGCTCACGCTTCGAAAACTATTAAGGTACAAATTTTGCATCGTTTTCTAGAAAGGGGCCACACTCAAAATGAAGGCGACAGCATGCATGCTACCATAGAAAGTGCCAAAAAACGCCAATCCAATATTTTTACTCCAGCACAATGGATCATGTTAATTAAAATGGCCAAGGTAACTGGACAACCCTATGATGTGAAGGAAATGTCCCAAAATGATTTCTACAGTTTCAGCAATATTGTTCAAACTGAAAACTGGACGAAAGATAAGAGCGGCGAAAAATTTATGATAAGTAAAGTAAAGCAAATTGAATTTTTGACCAGCCAACCAGACGTTGCTGAATTCAAATACCATTTCACGGAGGAACCGCAATCCATATGCTTAAAAAGAAGACCTCTTAGAAAAGATAACGTTATGGAAAATATCTCCATTCTTTACAGAGGACCCCTTCCAATAGAAACTAAGAAGTTAACGGGTTTGCTAGAGTTGTGTAAAAGCAAAGCCATTCCTTCCATCTACCATCCTTTCTATTATTCTTTAAAAGCAAAAGACAAGGAGACTAAAAGGAGTAATAAAAGCGCTCAGAACACTGCAAAAAGTGACGAAGAAAATGAAAATATGACCGATTCAGAATAATCATGTTTTATTTTTATAATAATTAGGAGCACAAAAGTATTTGTTTATTGTAAGCTCAATGCCTTCATTTTTTAATCTCTGTAAAACAGCTCAAAATATAGTATGTTAAACAAACAAATTTGATTTTGTCTTAGTATACTACAACGAATACTATAGTAACTCGTTAAAAAAACAAAACAAAAAAAAAATAAAAAAAATATTTGTGACTCTTCAATAAAGCCCAACTAAGTCTAGAAGTCCCAGAACAAAAAAATTGCCATATCTTGTCCGATTGAAAAAATAATAATGGACAGTTATCAAGCAAATATTTTAAACTTGTTTTTCTAAAAACTATTAATAATTAATTACTATAATCTTCGTTGCATGAGTCGAGATCATAATAGACTGGCAATCCAAATACAGGCTAGAACCAAAATTTATAAACCAAAAATTAAACAAACAATTAATTGTTTTGATAAGAAAAGGTTCATTTCTACATTTAGATATAAAATCACTAGTAATTCCATAGAAAATTTTAATGAATCAATCACTCTTATTCAAGAATCAAAAAAAATATCCGACTTTGAAAAAACGATAAGAGTAAGAGGTAACAACCAGTGGATTACACAAGACATTTTGGACCTAATGAATAAACGTGACAAAGCCTATGAGAGAATGATAAAAAATCGTGGCAACGCTGTAGCTGAGACCGAATTTAGGCATTTAAAGAATCAAGTTAACAATAAAATTAAATCAGCAAAAAATTGTCACTTTCGTACAAAGTGGAACCAGACCGGCAATAAGAAAATGCAATGGAATTTTATTAATAGTTTTTTCAATAAAAATACCAAAAATAATTATATTGATTTTTTAACAGTAGACAATAACAAAATTGAAGATCGTGTAGATATTGTAAATAATTTAAATTCTCACTTCGCGAATATTGGAGAGAATATAGTTAATGAACTGAATGAAGAAATGAACCTAACTGATAATAGTTTAGAATTTAATGAGGTATTATGTAATAACCAAATAACAAATGTTGAATTGACGAATTTCTGTGAGGTTGAGGAAATTATACAGGAACTAAAAAAAAATTCGGCACCGGGACACGATGGAATAACAACAAAAGATATAATTAGTTTAAAAAATTATATTCTAGAGATTTTAACGAAGTTAATAAATAATGTACTTGTTAGTTGCACTTTTCCGCCAGAATTAAAAATTAGTAAAATAAATCCTATATTTAAATCAGGAAAGGCGGATCTTATGAATAACTACAGACCTATCTCAGTTATTAGTATTTTTTCAAAAATTATAGAAAAAATCATTAAACGTAGGATGCTGCAATTTATTGGAAATAATATAGAAGTTGACAGGTTTCAGTATGGTTTCATCAAGGGTAGTAACACACTATCAACTACATTCGATTTTGTAAATTATGTCTCAAAAAACCTTGACCAGAAAAATGTGGTAGTTGCAATATTTGGCGATTTGAGGAAGGCTTTTGACGTAGTTTCATTGGATAAAATGCTACATAAATTGGGTTTACTGGGATTTCAGGGTAATTTTTTATTGTTAATTGAGTCATATGTGAGGGATCGTTACCAATATGTTAAACTGAACAATACTCAAAGTGAAATGTTAACAAATAGATGTGGGGTACCGCAGGGGTCAGTATTAGGACCTTTGCTTTATTCATTATATGTTTTAAATCTTAGACTAGCAAATCTCACAGCGCATTATTTTACATTTGCTGATGATACGGCCCTTATCTACACAGGAAAAGAAGAAACTCATTTGAAAAATCAAATAAACGAAGATTTAGATCGTTACCTTGAATGGTTGTATTCAAATAAATTGAAAATTAACTTAGATAAAACAAAATATTTAGTGTTTAGACAAAAAAATAAAATAGTTGGTAATATTGAGATTAAAATAAACAACGTCTCTCTTGAACAAGTTGAAAATATTAAATATTTAGGACTATTAATTGACGATCTCTTGCTCTGGAAACCCCACATTAATCACGTAATTGAAAAACTAAATGCAATGGTACCGATCTTATATAAATGTCGACAATATCTTACATATAATACAAAGATGAATTTATACAACTCATATTTTCTTTCCCATTTAAGATATCTAATTCCCATATGGGGCATATGCAGTTCGACCAATTTAAATGATATTCAAGTTCAACAAAACAAAATTTTAAAGGTTCTTTTTAATTACAATATACTAACTAACACAGAATATTTATATACACAACTAAATGTGTACAAAATGGAAATGTTACTTCAGCTTGAGCAGTGCAAACTGATGTACAAAATTATACATAAACAACAAAAATGCAACTCAGGGCTAGTTTTTCAGAATGAAATACATACTTACGGCACAAGATCAGAAAACAATGTTTATATTGGTAATAGCAGAATAAATATTGGTCTTCACTCCCCCATGCATTCTGCATCTAGGAGTTATAATAATTTACCTATTAATTTAAAAGAGTTACAAAACTTTAGTCAATTTCATAGGAAACTCAAAATGCACTTAGGTACTGATATAACTTAATAATAAAATTTATTTTCATAGAAATATTTAAAAAAAAAAAAAAAATGTTTGTTAACTTTAGTTAGATTTAGCATCACCATTTTGTTATTAATATTATATTCTTGAGAACAGTGTTTTAAACACTGATTTATGATTGTGTGTAATATGAATGTACTATAAAAAAAATTTGTGAATAAATGGTTTAAAAAAAAAAAAAATTCGAAATTGCCGCCACAAAAGTGATCACGTGACTAGTGTTGTAACTGATGGAACGTTCCCGTTTATTCTCGAAGAACGTTCGCGAACGTTCAAGGCTTAGTGGGAACGTTCCTTCTCAAAAGCACGAATCAGCATGAACGAGAATGTTCCTTAATAAAAATTAGCACATTAAATAACATTTATTTTCCGAAACTGGGGTCTGGGGATCGAGAAAAATTCCCGAAAGTCGACCAGCAGTGTTAGGTATCAGGGATTCACACGCCAGTTTTTGTCGTCCACTCCCGCTTGCCGGTTTTTCATTTAGTATTCATTTTTAAGCTTGTAAATAGGTCTGTTCGCATAGAAATCAAACCAGTCAAAGCGAATTTCATTGGTTGAAAACAGTCAGAAATAATCAGAATACTAGTTTCAACCAATGAAATTCACTTTGGCTAGTTTGCAATTTCTCTGCGAACACACCTATTAGTATAGTGTTTACTTTTTATTGAAAATGTCTAAGAAAAAGTGTAATATTTTCAAGTTTTTTGTGTTATAATCGATAGCATCCACAAGTTCGTCATCTCCTATAGAAACACTTTATGCATAGTATAGATCTACCAAATATAGGCAGATATTTTTTTCATTTTATATTATACTTATGCCATTACTGTTTTTCTTTCATGCTCATTATTCTCGATCATTCTCGTTCGTGCTCGGATAATGTTCTCCAAAAATAAATTCTCGAGCATTTTACAACACTACACGTGACCAATGTCAAAATGTACTTTTAGGTAATCGGACGTGCAGGATCGATCGCACATAAGAGAAAATTCCATATCCTACAAATAAAAGATTTTTCCATATGTAGCGAACATTATGGTGGACACGGTATCATTTAAATAAGCAAAAGCAGAGCTTTCCAATAAGCTATTATGATACCGGGTGTTTTTCAAAACCCGCTCACCCCTATAACTTTTTTATTTTTACAGATAAACAAATGAAATTTGGTGTGTTCATTAATGATCCGAATGTGCATTATTTGACGTATTCAATGATTTATTATCACTTCCGGTTTGACCGGAAGTAACCCCAACTTTCTTACTTTAAATGAGACGTCAGGTATATTTTTCCTTATTTCAAAAGAAAACTACATTATGTCCATTATGAGTTCAATGATACCTCATTTGTCACTTTTTGACATTTTATCTCCAATTATGTAAATTTTTACTTTATAATCTAGAGCACCATGAACTAGTTAAAATGCTTCATTTTGCTCCAGGGGACCTGGAAAAATTTGTTCTAATCTCATTTTGTATTTTATGTCCTCCACAGAATCATTCAAAAATAGTAGAAGCCTATTTTTAAAATTATGTCAATTTTTTCGAATGGAAAGGGTGTGTGTGGCTCATTAGCATATTTCGAAAGAGCATTTTCCAACGAACAATAATTCAATACCACACAATCGCTAGTTTATTCAAACATTGACCTTAAATTTTCCTGGAATAGTTGCTAGAACATTTCTTGATTTGATCTAATGTCAAAAAGTGACAAATGAGGTGTCATTGTACTCGTAATGTAATTTTCTATCGAAATAAGGGAAAATATGCATGGCGTCTTATTTAAAATAAGAGAGTTGGGGTCACTTCCGGTCAAACCGGAAGTGATAATAAATAATTGAATATGTCAAGTAATGCACATTCGGGTCATTAATGGTGGATTGCACAAAAAGAATTACTCCTCATTCTTAGCACGTACTTAGCTAAGCATGATCTTAAAATTTAAATTTGCATTGGTCACTTTGACTTGCACCAACCCTACGTAAAGGAAACTTAGCTAAGGTTAGTTTGAATTCCGAACTAGCTGGCAACACCGCAGGATGTACGCATTTCGATTTAAATACAAATATACGTCATAGTTGATATTCGTGTGAGAGATAGAGATGAAAAATGTTTATGATTTCTTGAGAGAAACCATAGAAACCAAACAATACGAATCAACAACGAATCGACAAATACAAACTACAAACATAACCAAGTTTTGTCCACCCAAATTAACCTTGAACCACGAATTCGCCGCTCTTTCGCATTTGTAACGGTGGATTGCACAAAAAAATTACTCCTCATTCTTAGCACGTACTTAGCTAAGCATGATCTTAAAATTTAAGTTTGCATTGATCGCTTTGACTTGCACCAACCCTACGTAAAGAAAACTTAGCTGAGGTTAGTTTGAATTCCGAACTAGCTGGCAACACCGCAGGATGTACGCATTTC